ATCTGTCAGGGTGTCAATAGTTATGTTACAGAGGGGCTGGTGTCTGGTAGGCACTTTGCCTATGCATAGTCCAGTGCCTGATACCGCTGAAAGGGTCAGCTTCCATTGGCTCCCCCAGGGGCAATGTGAATGGTCAGAAGTAACATTATAGCTCCGCATTTGAGCTATTCCTTCATAATAAGAGGGATTAGAAGCAAAATACAGCCAGCAAGATTGGGTAGCAGTGGGGTTTGTGTGGTTTAAAACGACGAACGCACTATCGAGCAGATTGAACAGGTGATCCTCGGTTCTCATAGGGGGGAGGAGGGATGTAATTGGATTAGGGCTGAAAGAGGCCTTTGGTGATGGGGTGAGACTAGGAAGTCTCTCAGGCCTGGGTGGGGGGTTATCAAGCGCCGGATTAGGGCCTACGGGTCGTACGGGCGGACTTTCTTTCTTTATCCTGATTGCGAAAATGAACCCAGGGTCTCCCATTCCAGTATAGACTCTCCACCCCCAGCAGTTGCCTTTTACCCATTGTCGATCTTGTTTTCCCCATGCTGTGAAACTAATATTCAGAGGGTTGCAATAGCTGCCTTTGCATGGCCCCTGAGGGCCACCCGAGGCTCCAGGAGCACATCCAGTCTTATAAGCCGGGCATTTAGATGTGTCTCTCTCTCCTTTTTCTGGCTCTGCCTGCTTTCTCCCCTTTTTTACTCTAATCAGACCCCAGGAGGAGGAGGGATTCCAGTAGGCTTCTCCTGTGGTCTCACATCCCCATTTACCACAGAAATAACCTGATGCCCCCCCACATTGTCTCTTCGTTTCTCTGTTATGTCCCTGCCTGGGGCAGACATAGAAGTCTGCTGCCTGGAGGCTGGCTCAAAAAAATTGTCCAGAACATCCCAATGTGCTCCCTATACCATGAGGGACACATTGTTCCTCCGGTGGTGGTTATCTAAATTGTCATAATTAGAAAGATCCCAGGCCAGGGAACCAGCAGCTAACTTACAGATATCAGGTGCAAGATCAGGCCAAGTCCAAGGGGGGTGCATTGCGGTTTTTGACCACACGATGTCGCCTTCTTCATTAAGCACTTTTCATGTCAATTTTTGGGGAACATGAGGGTTATTCCCCGCGAAGGTGCAACTTAAGAGGATTGTCACTGGCTGCCACTGTCCAATTATTTTCGCGGTTGTTTTCATTTTGACTGGGTGCCTTTTTTATGTGGGAAGCGTGGATCCAGGCAGCAATCCCGTCTACCTTTACTGCCATGGGGGTAGTCAGCAGCACTAGATAGGGTCCTTTCCACCGAGGCTCAAGCGTGCCAGCACGAAGTCGTCTGACCAAGACTGAGTCTCCGACCTGGAATCGGTGGGGCACCTCGGTGGTCCCTGGAGTGTAGGCTTCTTTGATCTGATCCCAGATCTGTGTTTTGACAACTTCTAAGGCCTTTAAGTGGGTAAACAGAGCAGAGGAGGAGGGAGAGTGAGTGCAAGGATCCAATATCCCACCTGACTCAGTCAAGGGGGGCCGTCCCCCATGTAGGATTTCATAAGGGGTAAGGCTGAAACCTGCAGGTGTGTTTCAGACCCTAAGGAGCGCAAAGGGGAGGAGGGTCACCCAGTCTTTGCCGCCCGGTCTCAATAGCCAATTTAGTAAGGGTCTCTTTTAGGGTTCTATTCATTCTTTCTACCTGTCCTGAGCTCTGGGGTCTGTAAGCACAATGTAATTTCCAATTAGTCCCCAGTTGGGTGGTCAACTCCTGACTTACCTGGGCAACAAAAGCCAGCCCGTTATCTGAACCAATTACCTTGGGGATCCCAAACCTGGGCAGGATTTCTTCCAGTATCTTCTTGGTTACCATTTGAGCAGTTTCAGACTTCATGGGAAAGGCTTCCACCCATCCTGAAAAAGTGTCTATAAAAACTAGAAGGTACTTATTACCATATTTTCCTGGCTTAATTTCAGTGAAGTCTACCTCCCAATAAATTCCCGGCCGATCTCCCCTCATTCTTTTTCCGGGTTCTTTGAACGATCGGGCAGCATTGGTCAAGGTGCAGGCTTGACATGACTCTATTACCTCTTTTATTATTGCATTTAATCCTAGAACATAATATTTAGAACCTTTGATTAATTGCTTAAGTTTTTCGTTTCCAAGATGAGTCAGCTGGTGTATTCGTCTCACATAGTCTTGTCCTTCTTTAGAGGGCAGAATGATTCTTCCATCTTTGGTTTTTGTCAGTTCACTGAAACTGAGCATCCGAGCTTTTCCTGCACGGGTCATATCTTTGATTAAATCATAATCTTTATAGGGATAGATGAAGCTGGGATGGATGAAGCTGGCTTGTGGGGTTTCTGGCCGGGTTCCAGTTTCTCCCGCCAGCACTACCACTCCCTGGGCAGCTTGCTTTGCTGTTAGATCAGCCATCTGGTTCCCCTTTGTGACTGGGTCAGTCCCCTTCTGGTGTCCCAGGCAGTGGATGATGGCTAATTTTTGTGGAAGATCCTGCTGAGGTGAGTAAGCCCCTCTGTCTGTAAATGGCTCCATGAATGTGAGCCGTGGCGAAGGCATAACGGCTGTCGGTGTAAATGTTGATAGCCTTACCTTCTGCTCATTTTTTTTTATGAGAGTTCCGGGAGTGGCCACCTGCAGGGGACGGGAGCCCACAAGGTGATGAGCCCATGTTCTTATAGACAGCTAGTAATTTTTACTCTTCAGGCCTAGGCCCTATCCCAAAGGATACGAAAGAATCTGATGACAGCCTATGGAAGGCCTCAAAACCCAGGGGGAGCAGAAAAGATATGTGACAGATAAGGTTTTAGTTGGGGGGGGTCGGGGAGGATGGGTGGGAGAAGGGAACTGGGATTGTCATGTAAAACAATCCTGTTTCTAATTCAAATAAAAAAAAGTTGGAAAAAAAAGAAATTATGCATCTTTAAATGTCTGAAGGCAACACCAACAATGCTAAAAGAAAACATACAATTCAGTTCATTGAGAGGGCACCCAATTATTGAAGAGTAGAGAAAATGAAAAGTGGTGTGTGCAAGAGAATCCCAGGAGCACCTCTTTGTCTGGTTTCATGTGTTTTTCTCCTGTCCATTTTAATCTTATCCTGCTTTTCTTTATCTTGTAGACACTGAACTCTACAGATGCAGTTTTCTCAGCTTCTACCTCTTGTCATGGTAACCTTCAGCTATTCTTGTTTTCAAATGTTTGATGTGCCAGTAGAAAACCCCAGAACCAAGCTAGGAATGTGGTATTTTTCAGAGAGGAGTGTTTTGGACCCCTGTCTTCTGGTCTGTGAATGAAGCCAGCCATACATTCCCAGGTCTGATTCTGAGTGGTGGTGTGTGGATTAGGGAAATATAATTACCCAAGGATGCTAATGATGAGACAGGAAACACCATATAATCTCAGGAGGGCTCCCAGCTGATGCCTAGAAGCCAGGGATTATTGAGAAATCCATTTAAATATTCTTCCAAGGGCAGGGGCAGCATCAGGAAACATCTATTATGATGTATATAGCTAATATCAAGTGATTCCATTGATTCAAGCATTACCTAAACAGCTCTTAGTTCTCAGCTCAGGCATGGGCCTTCTCAATGTTTAGGCCCATAGAGATGCAAACTAGAAGGCATTCTACCCTGAGGCCATGGTAAACAATAGTAGACCTGCTGGCTTTAGTAATACAATAGTGGGCTGGAGCTTTCAGGTGCTCCTGTTTACTGAAGCTGGAGGCTGGACATTCATAATGGAACTTTTCTAAGGTCCCCAACAGAGGAGTATGATAGCCAACTTCCCTTGTCAGATTGAATACCTTGTATTATTCATGGAAGTGAAGGGTTTTGTCTGGAACCCTTACCAGGTTTTGACCTGGGAGGAATGACAAACTCAGTTAGTTGGTTTTGAGTATATAAGTTTTACTTCACACTTAGGTCAAAAAAACACACAAGCATTAGCAAACAGTCCTAAGAACCACAGACAATAGGCTCACAGCAGGGGTTACCTCTCCTGAAACCCCCCCCCCCCCGCGCCCCCTCCATCATGGAGTCTGGGCACTCAGCTCCATGGACTAGTTGTCTTAGGTAAGCAGAGGAGAGCCTCCAGGACAGAGTCGTGGTACACTAAAATTCCTAGTTCTGAGCTGGACCTTAAATAATTCACTAAATCATGCTAATCACACTTTGCCACACTTCACACATTTTCACTCTTATCTACAAAGGCTGGGCTGCATAGTGGGCCTGAAAGGTTCAGGCATTATGCTGGCTTGCCCCTGTCACCTGGTGGAACAGGCAGTGCCCTGGTCAGCCCAAGGTTCCATGGGAGCTAAGTCTGCACGCAGGTACAGAGGACCCCTTTAAAAGATAAGTTCCTGCCCCTTTACGCTCTCTGTTTCTCTGTCCCGCTCTCTGTGCACTCTGTTCCCCTCTCTGTTTCCCGCTCTGTCTCTCTATGGTGACCGGCCGTGGAGGTCAGCCATTTACCCTGTTCCTCTTCTTAGTCTCCCCATTCTGCCGGGCCTTATAATAAACTTATAGTCTTATGTCTCATGTCTCAGCATTTCTCTTTTCTTCTTTTTAAACAAAAGAATAACATTTTGGCGCCTGGACATGGAAAGGCTCTGCCCTTATACCTTCTCCCGAGACCTGCTGGCGGGCACGTGTTAGGCAAGGGTACCCTTACAATCCACTTCCATCTCCACTTTTCCTTCCCTCCTGCCTGCAGCAGCCTGAGATGCCGGAATTCAACTTGCCGCTTTTCCAACTAAGTATTTCTGGAACTCACTGATCTGCCTATTTGCTACAATCCGGTAAGCTACCCAGAACCTTTTCCATGGGGCAGACCCAGCACTGTTCACTCTGGGTCCATTTTTGGGTTTCAGGGCAGGTGCTCTCAGACAGGGCAATCTGTGCGATTTTTTGGCCTTGCCCACGGGAAATACATTTTTACGGGATCTTTCGGTTACTGGCAGCGAGTAGGTAAATGAGCAGAGTTCTGCCTCCCAGTGGGAAATCTCTTTCACCTGGGAATGTCCCTCATTGTTCTGTTTGCTCTATCTCTGACTGTGCTTCTTCTTGGTTGGCAATGTCTGCTTGAGATGCTCTGAAAGTTTTGTTTGTCGACTGGTTTTCATTTTTCCACATGAATGAGGTTTGAAACTTTTCTGGCAATTGAGAATATGCTTAAGGGGGTCGCCATCTCAACCACATGGGCTAACCTGGGGGCCGCCATCTTGGTCATAACCAGGTGACCTAGCTTAGGCCTGCCCACTCAATTCAGTGACTTGCACAGGCAAGCACTGCCACCTGACATCTTGCTTTTTATTTCTTCTTTCACTTGTTGGGTGCATTTCCTGAAGGTCAAGCATGGGATCCTGCTCCAGGAGCAGTGCTTTTTTGCTTTTTCAGTTCGGACTGCTGGGTCCTTTTTCAGTTTCGGGACAGCTGTGTCCCCTTTGGGGCCAGGCCCCCTGGCAACTCCCCTGAGCAGACGTGCATCTGGAGAGGAGCTTTTTGCTGGTTTTCCACTTGCCTCACCCATGGGAAATGCATAGAGGAACCTTTCTGGTTTTATCCATCAAGCAGGTAAACAGACAAAAGCGGCTTATGGTTGCCGCCGTTTTGGTCATGTGACCTACCTGTAGGCACGCCCA